AAGCATGTTCAAGGTATAGCAATCCATATGTCAAGAAAAATCATGAATTTCAATATGTACCACACATTTAAGCATAGGCATGATTTTTAGGTAAGAGTAAAACATCTTAGAAATATATTCAAATGATTCTATAATAAAGAATTCATAATCATGAATAAGCATGTCAATGATATAAGATAGAATTTTTACCTCAAAAGTTTAAGAGAGTATATGAGGCATACCTTAGGTTCAAAAGATGGAAGCTTTTCAATCTTCAATTTTCTTTCATGAGGAGTTCATCTCAAAAGGGTTTAACAAGTATGTTAGCAAAATGATTTTTCCTCCTAAGTTAGTGCTACCCTTTTCTATTTTGTGTAAATATAGCATTCATAGAACAATCACTATTACTCAATAAAAATACAACACAAATCACTTCTTATCACAAACTAAAAAGGTGAAAAATAAGTCAATGATCAAACAAGAGTTTGGAATGCTATTTTTCAGAATTTTCAAATTGTAACGCATAGCATAATATGCATAAGAAAATAGTTTTATACTCTTTGTTTTATTAAGAAATCATGCAATAATTTCATTTAATCACATAACATTATCAAGAGGCATTTTCATCAATTCAATCCACATGCTCAAGTGTGATAAAACATTTTACTCAATATGGAACACAACATGAATGTTATAAACAATTAATTCAACAATTTATCAATCAAAAGTATTTCATGAGATGTATGCCAATATAATCCATATTCAAAAGATATTCAATATAATAGATGCAATGTCTCTACAAACGTATGATACTTCTTTTCATTTAGACATTGTTGATGGATTATAATTAAGGAATTTCACAACTCATTCAAATATTCCGATGTAAAGCATATAAGCATGAAATTTTCATATTGAACATATTCTTGAGATCACAAATGTAGAATTCAAAATATAGATAGTATACATCTCAAAAACATGCTATGACATCAAAATTGATTCTACAAAGATATGACTCAAAAAGGAATTAATATATTAGTATGAAGTCATATATAAGATGTGAAAAGTATGTTCACAAAAAAATTTATTACTTCTTATCTCTTTTTCATAGCAATGGATGACATAATATAAAATGTTAATGAATACTTGAATCATTCATATTCTAATAGGCATTCATCAAAATAATATAATTCTCATTTTTGAGTTCAATGAATGTTTGAAAGAAACTAGCAGAACATAACTTAGCAAACTTAGTACAATTAGGTTACATGGAAGTAATGATTAGACATAACCTATTGTACACAAATCACACCTTAAAGAATATAGAACTTTAAGCTTAAATGTGTGTTAAGAGTTATACCTTCATTTACCTTTTTGGAATCTTCACCCATACATTACCTCTATTGTTTATCTTAGTGATTTTCATTTCATCATTCTTCTTCTTGTATGAGCTAATTTTGCTCTTTAGATTGAACACTCTTGTTATGCATTTCCTCTCGAAGTCCTTGGTGTTTTTTAAGATTCAACCTACAAAATATCTTGATTTCTTTCTTGGTACTCATACTTTCTTGGGTCCATGGAGATTAGTCTCAAGAACATTTAATCTCATAAAAGGTTTAAGAGGATCAAAACCAATGCATACTTTGTCAAAAACACATTCTTTTATTTCCAAGAAGCTTGTTGAGGTTTTCTTTTCCTTTTACAAAATTTTCAAGAGTTTTGTTTAAATCCTCAATATTGTTTTTCAAAATGTTTTTCGCATTGGCAATAAACGTAAAGTTATTTTTCAAAGTCGCATTTTCCATTTTTAAAGCATCCACATCATTTGAAAGAGAAATAACTAATTTCTTTAATTTAGAATTCTTAACACAAACATTTCTAAATATGTCATGTAATTCATTGAAAGCACTTTCAAGTTCTACATAATTAGAAATTACCTCATCTTGAGTGAATTCTTCTTCCCTAAGAGCCATGAGACACAAGTTGGCTATTCTATCATTTTCTTCCCAAATGGCTTCCTTTTTGCTGTCATCCATCATTGAAAGTGCATGAGCCATGAGTGAGTCTAGGAGTTCTTCAATGCCTAATTTTGTTAGGTCTTTTGCTTCTTGAATAGCTGTAACCTTAACTTCTCATTCATTTGGCAAAGACCTAAGTATTTTTCTTACAAGCTCACCATTAGTATAAGATTTACCAAGAGATTTTAGAGCATTAATAATATTGGTAAATTTATAAAACATCTTAGAAATATATTCAAATGATTCTATAATAAAGAATTCATAATCATGAATAAGCATGTCAATCCGAGACTCTTTTATTTGGCTAGTTCCTTCATAGGTGATTTCAAGTTTATCCCAAATCTCTTTAGCAGTAATACACCCAAAAATTCTATTGTACTCATTTGTATCTAGTCCACACACAAGAATAAGCTTGGCTTTAGCATTAGCTTGAAAGAGTTTATAATCATGCTCGTCAAATTCATCCTCAAGTTTAGGCACACTGATATGGTCTACTACCTTGGTAGGGATTTTAGGACCTTTAGTGATAATGAGCCACAAAGCATAATTGTTAGTTTGAAGATACAAAGTTATTTTTTCTTTCCAATGAACATAACTATTACCATCAAAGAGAGGTGGCCTATTGTTAGCTTTTCCTACAGTAGAGTAAGTAGAATACATGGTTGCTATAGATAAAAAAACTCAAGATTGTTAATTCTAAACAAGAGCCCCAGGCTCTGATACCAATTGTTACCCAAAAGACAATCTAAGAAGGGGGGTGAATTAGGTTTTTACAATTAAAATTAATAATACTCTAATAAAAATTATGACTAGCACAATAAATAAATATAATTAATGAAATAAAAATAACTAAAACAAGTGTCTTAACAACTATGTCAGTTAATGATTTTAGCACAGTAAAAATGTGAAATATAGTTATGGCAATTTAAAATAAAATAAAGAGATAAGGGAGAGAGAGGTAAACAAATTTATAGTGGTTCGGTTTCAACTCGGCCTACGTCCACTCCTCAAACTTCATTTGAGATTTTTCACTATCTTCTAGCTTCACAAGGGTGCTAGCAACCTCTTTACAAATTGAGCAATCCTCCACGAATTTTACAAAGATTTCACAAGTCCAAACCCTCGCAAATCTTAGGTGATTCAGAATCACTCTCAAGATTTCAAGAATACAGTGTTTGCAACACTTTTACAAGATGAAATGATATTTTTGTTTTCAAAGAAAGCTTACAATAAATATCTCTCATAGATAGATATATAAAATAAAACTTTGATTTTTCCGTAAATCTCACACATGAAAGATGGGCTTAAAGCTATAAGGCTCGGTGTATAATTTCTGAGAATAGATGTGAGTGATTATAGATCAAAGAATATTTTCAGGTTTTTGTGACTTGTTTACATTAGAGACTTTGATATATATAATGAAAATTATAACCGTTTATAGCCGTTGTATTCATTTGAATTTATAGCCGTTGTAGCCATTTGAATTTATAACCGTTGTACTTTCATCATTACCAATTTGAATATCTTCCACTCCATCATTATCAATTTGAATATCTTTCACTTGAACCTTTTGAACCTTTTTGACTTTTTGAACTTTTATAGCCGTTTATAGCCGTTGTACTTCCATCATTACTAATTTAAATATCTTTCACTTGAACCTTATGAACCTTTTGGCCTGCTAATGTGCTAAGCTGTTTGAACCTTTGTTTTTGGTTGTTTGAACTCCTGATTTAATCAAATATTAAATACATTCTAACAACATTTAAAATAAAAGTTTAGGTGATAAATAATGGGACAAAATAAATTTTGATTCTATTTTTTTCTTTCAAATAAATCATCAAAATAAATTTTGATTCTATTTTTCTCTCTCAAATAAATTATCAAAATAAATTTTGGATTTTATTTTTCTCTTTCAAATAAATTAAAACATAATTAAATAAATCATCAAAATAAACAAGTCTAACAAAACTGTCCCGACATTGATTCCGATTTGCTCCTACAACGGTCCAACATGACCATAAATTGTCTCCCGACATTAGTTCCAGCCTCTGATCTCGGCATTAGTTTCAGCTAGTTTCTATATCGATTCGGCATGACCTTAAACTGTCCTAACATTAATTTCGACCAGTTTTTACAATAGTCCGACACGACCATAAACTGTGTCCCAACATTAGTTTCAGCCTCTGATTTATTTTAAGCGCTCTCACACTCCCGTTCGAATTTTACAATCTATTTACCTTTTATTTTATTTAGTTTTATTTTATATTTTTTAATTTCTCTCCAAACTCAAGATGTTTATCCTTCTTGAATTTGAAAGAGAGTGTTAATGTATATGTGGAAATCCTATATATATTAAGTATTGATTTTTTAAATATATTTAAAAATAACCATAGTTAAATTTCTTATAAGATATTTTTTTTCATAATTAAGTTTCTAATAAAATATTTTTTCTTAATTTATATATACAGGCCTTCTATTGTATAAGACAAATTCATTAAATACAATTATTTTCTCTCTCTACTACTCTAACATAAAGTACAATTTTTGGTTAAATAAAAAGAGTACTAAATTGACTCAATATGTTAATGTTATAACCTTTGATGCATCAATCACCGAAAATAAAATAAATAAAACTTAGCCTCCGTTTGGCAAGTTGGTTTGGAGGTTTTTCGAGCTAAAATAGTCACAAAAAACAAAATGAAATTTTTAACCTAATAAAACAAAACATTAGATCTAATTCATAATCATTACATTCTTTCTCTCACAAAAAAGTCAAAAAAATAAAAAATTCTTCCCAAACCAAATCTCAGACTAAAATAACTAAAAAAGTAAAAAAAAAATCAAAAAATCAACCCACTTCCCGAACAAAGACTCAAGATAATGTATTTTTCTGAAAGCCATGGCTCATAGGAAGAGAACTCCAAAGAAATACCAGAAGCAGTAAATTCAGAATCTCAAAGAACTTAACAAAAAATAAAATTATTCATTTTTTAAAAAAGAAGGGGATTTACGTTAGACAACAGAAACAAATAGAACATTTTCAATTTCTTTCTCTTCAAAGCATCAAAATTCTTATACAATGGAAGTTAAATTCAGAATGGATTCAAAAAAGGGTGTACAGTTAGCTAGTCAGTTGCCAATTGCTTTAAAACGAGTATATCAAGGACTAGAGGGCTAGACAAAGTGCTCAGTCGGATATTCATGCTCGTATCCGTTGTAGTCATAGTACAATCTCTCTCCCTTTGGTATGTCTCTGTTTGCAATCAGTAGAACCCGACACTCACCGTTGACATCAAATCTCACACATTTTAAGTTCTGTTTCTTTTTTCCATCCCTGCACCATAAGAAAATGTTGGTCATCAGATTGTACTGAAATTAATCCTTATTCTATCACATTATTTATTATATATTTGTTTCTTATACAAAATTGGTGAGTTCAAAAGCATCAATATTACACAATTAGCATATAAACAACCCATTTTGTTTCTGACCCCATTCATAACAAAGCTACATTAAACTTGAAAAGACCATCTTGTTTTATATTCTTTTGCAAGTTAATGGTTGTTTTACATGTTACTCTTTTAGTAAAACAAAGTGTAACAATTCAATTTCATAAAACATCTGCAAGCCAGGCACATATTTATCTTTGTGCCCAAGAATTGATTAAATTGTTTAATTTAGATGACCATACAAATAAATCCAGTTCAATATCTAATCTTCTAGTCTTTTTATCTTCATTTGATCTCTTATGCGTCACAAAAGATCTGGCTTTGAATTTTTTGAACATCTAGAGGTCTACTTAATGCAAAAAGGCTTCATGGAATCACATTATAAACAAGGCTCAATAGAGAACAAAGTTTTAAAGTAAAGATGAACTTACGGTGTGTAATTATTGATGCCATTTATGAAGCGAGCTATGTTACTTCGCTTGTCAGGACATATGACAAGGCTTTTTGAAGAATCAGCAGCAGAAATAAGTGTCATCATACTATCACCATCATCATTTTCACGATTTTTCAAGTAATCAACATCTCCAACATATTCTGTAATTATAGTTAAATCCTTAATGAATCTATCTGCCTCTACAGTGAATCTGTTAATATAGGACAAGCAAGTTGAGGTCAGATTCAAAAGGTATGATTTAAAAATAAATAAATTAATTTACAACCAACGCAAAAAAAATAAAAATAAAAGACTTGAAATGCCAATAAATTCTCACCCTTCTTGAGGATCAAAAACAACCATAAGGGGTGGCCATTCCCCTCGCTCCATCATGTTCTTGCATGAGTATAGGCTTTCCATGTCTTCTTTAGACAAAACCTGAAATACGTTTTCAGTTACAAATAGCATAATCAGAAAAAGTTACCAGACAGATATTACAAAGAAGATGAATTGAAAACTATGTTGAAACGATATTTTGGCATTATTTTGGTAGAATACCATTGTGATAAATTCAGCTAAAACTTGCAATAATAGACCATCAGAGACAACAAACTGTAGGAGTCGTAATTTAAGGGGCTTCACTTGTTGCATGTACAAAGTGGTGGGATGGTTTCTTAGTTAAGCTTAACCTCATGAGAGTATCTCCAATGCTACATGCAAATTTTGTTTCATTGCCAATTTTTGGCTACACTATAGTACAAAAATCCCAAGATTTGACAACCTTACTCCAATACTTGTGTCATTTTTTGGCACAATCATCATCTCATCATCTTGCCATTCACCATCAGATCTCTATAAAATGCATCTAACCGTTGATAGCAATTCCAAAATCTAACAATCTGCCAAGACTTGCACTAAATTTGGCAGCAATATTAGCAATGTCAACATGTAACAACTTTAATGTCTTCTCCATTGGAGCACCCAACTGCTATAATGTAGCTATGACAGCTCAAATAGCAACCCCGTTGGAGCTGCTCTGGGAGGTAAACTCTTGAGCCTATACCTCTCGGGATGTGAGAAAGTTTTGTCCTTTTTGGCATAATATCTTGAGCTTGTGAGTGGTTTTTTTGTTTAGGATAGGCTTTGTGTTTTTGCCTTGTGTGGCTATTGGCTTACTCAGCCATGTTCTGGTCCTGCGATCAGCTTACTCCACATCCATTAGCCCAACTGTCCCACTATGTTTGAATTGAGTGATTTGGAAAGAAAAGAAAAGAAATAGAAAGATATGTATTTGTCTTATTTGTTTGAATAAAAAGAATTGAGGAGAAACGAAAAGAAACATATTTCTCTTATAACCCTCATTTTTAAATTTCTCAAAAGTGGAGAGATTGAAAGAGAAAAAAAAAAACTAAAAAATTATTATATTTTCAAAATATCAATTTTGTCCTTATAAAAATAAAAGAAATAAAATAATTGACAAAATATAAAAAGGTTATTTTGATAATATAACATAAAATAATTTATTTTCTTCTCTTATGAAATCTAATCAAACAAGAATAAAAAAAAAAATCATAATCATTTTTTTTTTTACTTATCCAAACAAGAAAAAAAGAAATCACAATCATTTATTTTCTTTTTTTTTTTCATTTATAACTTAAATAATCATTTCTTTTCTTTTTTTCTCTCCTAGATTCCCAAACATACAGAGTACTCAGAAGGTTTATCCAACTTTGCAATGCACCAATTTGCATACCAAAATAGATCCTTAAATGTTTGTTATTATGCAGCCAAGCCATGCACTTTAGGAATGATCTATTTTTGGTTTTCTTTGTGAATTGTATTAGATGCACAAGATTATTCTTGCAATTTCATCATACCTGCATTCCACCCTGCTCCAAAGATGCACAATTTGCTGACCTTGGGGCCATGCCTCGCATGTAAGTAAGCTCATTGCTGAAGTCTGCCCCTGTTGCCATCAATGCTGTGGCCAAAGATGCCATCTGTTCTAATCTCCTCGTAGGATCCTCACTTGGGTTGAATGGCAACAACTTCCTTCTCTTCTTTGACATTCTCAAGCTACTTGTTCGCCTTCGTCTTTTTCGAATATCTATGTAAATAAGACACACACACACACAGGTCAGTACTGCTTTAAACCCATCAAGAATCTGGAAATAGCAGCATTAAAATTCCATTTACCTTGACTAAGCTTCTTTGCTGGTTCTGAAGACCTTTGGATACGAAAGAAATCAACAATTTTTGTTTGAATAAGAGGAAAACCTGCATATTAGGAAAAGTTGCTTATTGTTTGGATTCATAACCCGATTTATTCTTTTGATTTTGAGATTAATATTAAGAAATCCCTACAGCAAATCAAACTAAAATAAACTTATCCAAGCAACAAACCCTAACAATTGAAATAGGCTCTATTTGGTTTTAAAAAATTAAATAAAAATGTATAGTGAATTCATTTTACAAGTACCTTCTGGAATTTATTTCCTTTTATTTTCCTTTCGACTACTGGGACTGATATTGGAGTGAATACCCAGAATTATATTGATACATAAATGAATCTATAATTTCTAACTGATTCAGTACAAAATACCCAGAATTAACTGATGATAATAATATGATTAAAAAAGGGTAAAATTCATATGAACATTGCTATTTAGACCCAAAAGTTAAACCCAATTTCTTGACCAACTGACATGTCAAGAAGATTATTAGTTAATAATTAAATATTTTCTAATTATCAACCAATCATCTTCTTCTATAAAAAATGGACTTATATATCATTTTTGAAATGGGATACATTGGTCAAAATCGATGCTGATTAAGCATTAATGATGAATCTAAGAGTGAGAAAGTGAAACATACTTTGGGGTTTCTTGTGAAGAGAACAGGAAGGGCAGAACCAGGAGGCATTGGGGACGGAGACAAGGATGGGTCTGAGGCAGAAGAGGTGAAACCCTCTGTCGCAGTTGTCGCAGAGAAGAAGCTCCGCGGCGAAGTCGCCGGACCCACATTCTTCGCAGCAAGTGTCCATGTAATCTCCCCTTGATTTGGGAGAGAGAGGCTTTGGAGCCTGGGTTCTCCTCCTCAACACCACTGTTGTTTTACTACAAACCATTATTGTATCAGAGACAGTGAGAGTGAGAGTGAGAGTGAGAGTGAGTGAAATGCGATGGATTGAGGGGGGATCTGCAATAATAAAGCTTTTTTTGGGGCCAAAAAATGAAACCATGAAATTTGGCGCGCTTATTTGGATTCGCGGGAAGTGAGATTTTGGCGCCAAAACCATGATGTGTTGTCACGTGTCTTGCGGATCTACGGGGTTTTTCCCAAGTAATTACCAAATCTGCCCTTAATTTTTTTTTTAAATTATTCGATGCACCATACCAAGAAAATGTTTCTGATTTTTATTTATTTTTTTTTTTTTGAATATTTGTAATACGAGATTGTCTTTTCTTAAATTTTTATGTTACTTCGAATGTCCTGTTAATTATTTAACTATGTTTCGAAATTACATATTTTGAAATTCTTATGTTTAATATTAAAATGAAAAAAAAATAAAAATATGTAATTCTCGGCTACCACATGTATTTATTTTTTATAAATAACTAAGTAAAAAAATTAAAATTTGACAAATATTTTTTTTCTCGAAACAATGGCAAAAAGTCAATTTGAGAGTATAGGATGTAGGATCTAATCATTGAATTATTTTGGCTATTAGAACATAATTAGCAAAATATAGTATTAGTGATGAGTTGTATTAATCAGGGTGGACAAATTTTGAGTTCGGTGAGGCTGGGTTCAGGCGCAAGTTACATTTGGGGGTGTTTGGTAAAGGCATTTTTTGATTTTTTGGACTAAAATTTACAAAATGATAAAATAGGTTAAAATAGTTAATAAGACAAAATATTACATCAAATTCATAATCATTTCACTTTTTCTCTCACAAATATCACATTCAATTATAAAAAAATTCTAACGATCTTGCCAAATACAACTTTTAGCCTACTAAAATATTCAAGAGCTAAAATAATCACTAAAATAACAACTTTCCAAACACCTACGTAGTAAAGAGGATATCATTCTAAACTCAATTAGGTTCCTTATCTAAAAAAACTTTAAAAAAATATACATCAATTAGGCTCAACATCAGGTTTCACTCTTCCTAGAAAGTCCAACATTAATAAAATTTTAAATTTCAAATCTTAACCCAACAGATATAAGTTATTAATTTTTAATTTTTGTCTTAAATAGATATTAAATTATTTAGATCATTTTATTTATTATCTGAATTTCGAACATTAACAGACTTTAATGTTAAATAAATATGATTTTTAATAGATGTTTAAATTTTATCCCCAGAAAGAAAGAACTATATATACTTCTTTCAACTTTTATATTTTTTTCCTACTTTATTTTAGGTACATTTATTCATAAATTTCTATTCACCTACTTATGTTTCATTTAGTTTAAATTATTTTTTTATGTTTAATAAGTCCTATGAGTGACATAGTTACCAAAATATTCATAATATTAATAAGGTAAAATGCACATTAATATTCGAGTGCTGCTATTAGCACTTGTCTAAATTCTTTGAACCCTCTAGTTTTTAATTTTTTTTATTATAATTATACCCTGAAATAAAATTATATTAAAAGACATCATTTAATGAAACACCCACCTATCAAATAAGCACTAACATTCTATAATATTGTACATCCAACCATACCCCCACCTCTACCTTCAACTATACGTATTTCATCTTTCTAAATTCTAAACATGTTACTCTTCATTAGGGTTGGGTATAGGGTTATCCGACCCGCCAAACCGCTCTACTATATCCGATCCACACGCATATGGGCGGTTTCGCAAATACATTAGGGTCGGGTGCGAATTGGATTTTGGCAGATTTTCGGGTTGCGGGTTTGAACCACACCCGCCCAACCTGCCCGCATTAATACATTCATTCACATTTTTTTCCCCCCCAAATCTAGACGCATTGAAACTAAGAGATGATGATTGTTACGATGATGAAATATTTCTGAAAAAACTAAGAGATTAGATGAATGATGAAATACAAAAAACTAAGAGATTAGATTTAAAATCATTCAATGATTTTTTTTTCTTTCAATTTGAGAGATTAGATTAGGGTAAAAAAAAAAGTTCAGATGTGTTTTTCTTTGAATTTGAGTGAGTGAGATCCGCACGCATGTGTGTTTTTTTTATGATGATGATGATTGTTATTTTTTTGTAATTGTTGTAAGATATCTCTCTTTCTATTTATTTGATTTTGAATGATTTTGAATGATTTATTTGTGTTATGAATTGATTTTGTTGTGTTTTAATTTTATAAGTTTTAATTCATTAATTATCAATGTTGAAGCATTTTAGAAAATTGAAAGAAAATGACCCAAATTAAATACTTACAAATGGGAAAAAAAATTCAAATATTAATTTTTAAAGGAAAAAATCCAAACTGCAACCGCCGGCATATCTACAAACCCTATTCGCACAAACCGCAAACCGCACTGCGGGCGGTTACGGTTTGACTTTTTCCCAAACCACATAGGTGCAGCGCGGGTCAAAACCGAACTGCAAACCGCACAAATCCAATCCGCGAGCACCCCTACTCTTCATAACAAATCAATATAAACCTTAAGCTTGTTACTCTTCATAACCTTCTTAAACTCTAAGTGTATCATCTTCATCATCATTATAAACCCTCCTAAACTAGAAACCTTGAACCAAAAAACTCTTTTCAAGTCCAATGTATTACTCTTCATCAATTATTTCACCTTGTAAAGCAATGGAGGACAATAACAACAATTCTGATAAGGCTGGCATTCAATTGGTAAATTTATTTGTCTTGCATTAATATTCTCGGTCGTTTTCAATTGTTGTTGTTTTGTTTGAGTTGTTCGGTACTAGTGTGCCAACTGTTAAAATTATGTTCAGTAACACAGTACTAAACACAAAACATTTAGTTCAATACATGCGTTCGAAACAATATTGCAGATAGTCGTTACTGGTGTGCCAAACAGTTCGATTTTTGTATCTTCAACACCAGATTGTGTGTTTGGTGAACAGAAATTTCCGATGAGTTTTTTGATGATATTCTTTGAACATTGTCATGTCGATTCCTCATTTCGTTGAGAGTTGACAGAAATTTCAATGATAGATCGTCGATGCAATGTTTTTCACTGAGACAATGGTGTTTATTGATGCGATGACCATAGGCATTTTTTTGAACAGGAGATGGATAGACATCAAAAGAAGAAAAGGAAAGGGTGTGTGGCATTGGGTGTGATAATATTATGAATGGGGTAAATTTGGTACTAAGTGGAATGTTCAAAGAAATATTATTTAAATTTAGGGTTTATAGTTGGGGCTCAAAGAAATTGGGGTCCAAAGAATTTAAGCAGGTGCTAATAGTAGCCCTCTAATATTCATATGATATGAATATTCATACTGTCAAATTTATTTATATTTTTATTTTATAAAATTACATATTCAAGTGACATCTTATTTGATAAATCTTGTTAATTAGGTTTCAAAAATACAAATTTTACGCAAAAAAAATATGTAAAACAAAAGTTATGAATTTTTAAAGTTTATTAAAAGTACAAAATAGTGTAAACGAAGTTGCTAAGCGTTTAAAAAAAGGGAAATTTAGCTATAAACCCCATTTACCTTTCTTTCATTGTTAAAAGGACTAAGAAAAAAATTATACTTTCTAAACCCCCCTCATAATTATAAAGTCCTGCATAAAGGACAAAATTTATTATTTAAATATTTTATATGACTATTATACCCTCAACTAATTCTTCCCACTCTCTTCCTTTCTAAATCCACAAACAGCTTCTGCATATATAATCAGGGAGTGCCAGATTTTTTATCAATTTGCAATCAATTTTTTGTTGGTAAAGGTTAAGAGATTCGGATTAGAGAGATGGTCAAAACTGGTGCTGTTTTGCGGCAGAAGAGATCGTCGGAGATGATCGGAGAAAGCTTCGACGACGACGACGTATCGCCTTCCGATTCTCCGGTGCTGTTTCGCGAGGGAAGAGATCATCGGAGATGATCAGAGAAAGCTTCGACGATGACGACGTATCACCTTCCAATTCTCATGAAGTTCATGTTCTTGCCGTTGATGATAGCCTCGTCGATCGAAAAGTCATTGAATGATTGCTTAAAATCACCTCTTGCAAAGTTACAAATCAATTCTCTCTCTCTCTCCTCTCTCCCTTCTATGAGGCGACAAAGGCATGTTTGGTGGAGTTGTTTGGTTATACATATTTTTCTAAACACAGATTTGAGTTTTGAATATATATATATATATATATATTTGTGTGTATGAGTATTGTTGAACACATGTATGCTTTTCATTGAGATTTGTGATTGTTGATCGAGTTTTAGAAGTTTTTCTTCTCAATTAGATATGTTAATTTGTTGATTAATTTGTTTTGTTTTTGTTTGTTTTTGTTTTTGTTTTTTTTAATTTATTTTTGTTGTTTTTTATCTAATTTCATTTGACAGAAGCAAAGTAAAATTTTACTCTGATTCTATTGCTCTGTTTTTTGTTTCAGATAATGAGAGTAAAATTTTACTCTGGTTCTATTGCTCTGTTTTTTGTTTGAGAGAATTAGAGTAAAATTTTACTCTGGTGTTAGAATGACAGTAAAATTTTACTGTCAAGAGGTGGCCATTGCCAAACACTTCAGCCGCCACAAACACTGCCTTCACTTTTTTACTTTTGTGCAGAGTAACATTTTACTTTTAGCTTCAGAGTCTCACAGTTTACTCATTTTTCAGATTAAAATTTTACTTTTATACAGAGTAAAATTTTACTTTTGTGTAGAGTCTAACATTTTACTAGTTTTTGAATTGATCTATTCATACTCAGCTTGTTCAATGGATGATCTATTCAATTTCTCTCTCTTTTTCTCTCTCTAATAAGAATTTCACACAGAAATTTTACTCTGAATCAGAGTAAAATTTTACTCTAGTTAAAAACATGTTGATTTGCTTAAAAATATAAAATTTTACTTTGAATCATAGTAAACTTTACTCTGAAATTTTACTTTGGTTAAAAACATGTTGATTTGCTTAATAATATAAAATTTTACTTTAAATCATAGTAAACTTTACTCTGATTCAGAGTAAAATTTTACTCTGAATC